GTTTTAAACTACACGCCGGCGAGCAATGAAATTAAAGAGAGAATGAAATATTGCCAAGAAATTCCACCAAATTTATATTCCCATACGCCAGGCAACGTTTGCGTGCGGGTTTCAATATTCATTTTTATTGTCGTATTCGCAGCAAAGAGAAACGTACGTTCTCCAAATATTTTTACTCCAGAGGAAACGCTGTGCCATTTCGTTATCTCTTAGGTTTTAATTCTGCACGTACTTAAATGCACCAAATCTGCTACGATGCTGACAAACGATTTGACATTAATTTTCGAATAAATACTTAAACAATCTCTTACATAATTTAACACGGTGAAGTGGGTCAATATGATTCACGTCAGACGTTCCACAAATTTCAAACAGAATTTCCGCAAGCAGTTGGCAAGCTCCAGTCAAATTGTATATTAGAGTCATACGTTTTCCACGGTATATGCTTCGCGATGCCACCATAAACGATTGATTATTTGTTGCCGGGCGGCTGGCATCTGTCCATGCAAAAAGCAAAACCGTATGCAACCGTTATCGATTCTGGGACAAGAACCTGCACGCCACACCTCGCCTGGGCTTAATCATCGGGCAGGACGTCTGAGCGATAAATAATATTCAATCAGAATGGGGAATGGAATTCTAGGGATTCGATCACTGTCACCAAAACTGGAAGGGAGACCCGGAGTTCACTGCGCACTTTGACGGCAAGACATCGATCCTGGATTAATATTGATCACTGAACCGCGATTTTTATGCATTCACGCCAGAAATAGTAACTTCAGGAAATGTATAATGTGTGGAGACGTAAACGACATAAAAAGAGAGATGCATAATTGAAATATATTTTTAAAAAGTGAGGTGCATGAATTTCTGTCTGGATTTCAAATTAATATTCAAGTTTTCACATTACGGTTGTTGTCAGGTGTTTCATGGATCTATTATAAGCGCGTGTACGGAATTATGTTATGTTTAAAAAAAAAAACTTGGCTACGGTATTTCGTTGCAAAACGAATACCATATTCTAAGAGGCTAATTCCTTTCGATAGAAGGATTAAGTAGGATACTGCGAAACGTGTCCTGAAGGATTAACGTGTTATACCCATATCCGACCCTCGTCACGCTTAACCCTCTGACTTTCTTCGTAGCGCGTTGGCGAACGTGTTGACACACGCTTTACGATGAAACGCAAAATTATCTTGTAGCCATTAAAAAAATTACCGCGTCCTTGCGCTATCAGAACGCACGTGTCTCTTTGAGCTCCGCCTGAAAAAAAATTTTCCACCCCTCTTCCAAAATACCAAAACGCTGGGACAACGTAGTGACGTGTCTCTCAGACAAGAATATCTTCATAATCATCAAAAGGAAACAAGTCCACGCAACTTTCTCACGAGTCCTTTTTCTGGTTGTGAAAGAGCGGCCTTCAGACGTTAACGAGGAAACATTCAGCGAGCAAGTACAGCCATCAAACGGCTGCTGGGAGGCCGCTAACGTACTCGTACGGCTCCGGGAGTACGTGAAAATAAAGCTGACCGGCTGTTACGGGTAATCCCGTGGAAAATTCGAGAGCCAGTAAAGGCGAGAGTGTTTCACATCGGATTAGCGTCGTGACCCTTCTCGTATCTCGCCCTCCGGCTTTCCCTCGCGGCAGGGTCACGAAGGACACGCGATACAGTTCCTCCACCCCCGCCACCCTTTTCGTTTTACCACGCCACGCTGTCGTTCGCCGCGGGCGAATATCAGATACTCGGTCACATCGTGCAAATCCATCGCGATAACCGTCGATAACGGTCCCGGGTTCGAAGGAGCTCGTTCGTGTCGTGCACGCATCGAGAAACAAGCCCCGCCGAGACGTGACTCGACGCTTGTCGCCGATGGAAATCGTCGTCCGGCGATTTCATTTCCATTAACCGGCTTGCAAAACGTCGCCCCTGTCACCGCGTGCACGGCAAAAAACGATGATTTATACTGGATCGACTCGAATCGCCGGTTGCTTTTACGCTTTCAGCCTTCCGATGTTTTTCGGTAAAGTTTTTCGCCAGACATATATCATCCTCAACTATAAAAACTTCGATTCTTGTATATTGAAACGGACTGTTGATTGGGTATCAATCTTATGTTGTAATGAAAAAGGAAAATTACACGTTCTTGGTCAGACTGACGAAGTTGGGTTGCTAACGACTGAACATTTTTTATTTTATTTAGATTCGGTTAGGAACGTATCATAAATGAAACATTATATTAATTATTATAACGACCAACTATAGGAAATGTTATACCAATTAGTATATGAATTACTGTATCAATCATTATGTGAAAGCACTATCAATTGTTATATTAATTATTGTTACTTGATGTATGAAATGTGTAAGCTATTATATGATGTAGCATGAATAATTCAAATTAGAAAACACGTGTGATTATATTTTGCGCGTGTTAATGGAAACGCGTTTACAAATCCTATATTTGGTACAGGGATTTAGGATTACGCGATCTCCGTTTGCGCGGGCGCGTTTTCAATTAAATCAATCTTCCTCTGTTCGAGCGAGAAATTTTATTTTCAAATCCATCCCGAATCGGTCGTTCAGAGAATAAAAAATATTCCGGCTAAAATCGAGAAACTACTCAAATCTCGCTTTAAGACGACTGAATGAAAAAGATACATTCCAGTTTCTAAGTCTTAGGATGTACTATCTCTGTCTCATAATAATAGTAGCAGGTGATGAATTTAATATGTTCCATAATAATAGTAGCAAAAAATAAATATAAAATGCAACATTTACTATGAAAAAAATAGATTAAATTAAACAGTAAATTAAAAATGTTGCTCCTAATTTTTATTTTCAGTGTTCAGATAGTTTCTGGGTTTTTCAATAATTACTGCATTTTGAAATTGTAGGTCCCTTGGCTGTGGAGCTTTGCTTTCCCTATATATCGTTTTTCTTTTCAAGAATTGGACAATTGAATGAACGAATGAAAATGAGTGTTATTTTAATAAATAGTAGAGAAAGGCCTCTTGTGTCAAATGTGAAATTTGATTACAATTGTACGACTTGATAGAATCTTTTAATTGAGAGTCTTTGATGGTTTATTAATATGAAATATTTGTCAGATTTTTCTATACGATAGATCAGATATTTATATACAATAACCACTTGTAAGTGTTTTATGAACGGGTGTATGATGATATTAATACAAGTAGTTGAAGTTAAAACGCGGAAAGATTTAAGTACTCGCGGGGTATACGCTATGCGAGAAGCACACTGCATCTAGAACGGGAAAAACGAGGAGCAGAAACTTACATTCAAGAAACTAAGCAGAATTCAATAACAACTTACCTTCCAGCTACCATCGGCCGCGATGCTCCTTTCGAACAATTCTTCTCCCGGGCAAACTTCGTCGCTGCAAGCAAATTCCTGTTGCGTAACACTGTCGAGTTACCCCGTACAAATGGGAAAAGGTGAAGTAAGATTACCCTTCACTATTTTCGTTAATCTTTCCACTCTTTGAGATCATTGAACAGGAAATCAAACTTTCGTACGAAAACAAATGTTTTAATAGAACGTCTTAAGTAGTAATCAATAATAATAACAAACTATTGTTTTTGCCTTTTTAAGGATCCTTAGAGGTAAGCAGATACAGTATGGAAATCTTATAATATCTAGTTTGACAATTATTTAAAACGATGTACAAGGATTCTTTGAACTTTTATTCAAGGGACCAAAGGAACGACTGAGGATGATAAAAGTCAAAGCGCCGAGTATTTATTGAAAACGAATCGCTATGTACAAACGTATTAAATACACGTGTATATGCGAGAGTGTAACAGTGACCGGTGTGTGTATGTGTGTGTCCGTGTGTTCGTGTACGACATTTATACAGGGGAAGGGATTCGAGTGTTATCCACGCAGAATAGTCAATACGGCTCCATACGTAGATAAACGATAGATAACTGGCCCTACACCGACGACCGTGCGCCAGCCGGCTTATTTACAACCCATTTCGCTGTTTATATTTGCACGCGGTGATTGGCAGATGCGTTCTTTCATGTTCGCGAATTCGTGACGCATTGTTCAACTAAACGGAGTCATCGTCCATTGAATTTTCATCAAAATCATCTGACCAAACTTATTATAGTTTCTCTTCTAAATAAATATAATTTTACAATTTCATCAGGTGAGACAACATTATAACATTGTACGTTTCAAGTTCTTCCTATTAATAAATATTTATAATCACATCGCACTCTGTCATTCGACCAAAGAAATGTAATGCTACGTAGGAGGGGGTGGATTTATCGCTGTTTATCAAAATTCGTTGGCCACAGGTATCGATTCTACGTAGCCTCTGCCGGGGGTTGCAAAAAATGCGAAGGCTCGCGCGGCCGATAGAGGAAGGGGTAGAAGAAGCGCGATCGTGTTTCATAACGAATATAGCAGCGGATATTAAATTCCATCGACAAACGCGGAATTCCCGTGTACGCGGGCACTTCCGTGTTCCGACTTTTGTTTGCGACCGCCGGACCGGGGCCAACGACCAAAACCGGAATGCTTCTGGTGCGTAAATACGCGCGAAAAACAAAACTCGTTTGAAATTAAGGGACAGGGCCCAGCTTCGAACGGTTGAAAGAATCGAAATCGGTCGAACTTTGATCGAAACCGACGATTCAAACGTTTCACGTGTCACGAATTTTTAAGCTAGTCTTTAATGAAACGAAATAGTCCACGAATTTTTATTTTTAAAAATGAACTTGTCATATCAGAAGTCTTGTCATACTTAAAAGCAATGAAATCAAACTTTCGTACGAAAACAAATGTTTTAATAGAACGTCTTAAGTAGTAATCAATAATAATAACAAACTATTGTTTTTGCCTTTTTAAGGATCCTTAGAGGTAAGCAGATACAGTATGGAAATCTTATAATATCTAGTTTGACAATTATTTAAAACGATGTACAAGGATTCTTTGAACTTTTATTCAAGGGACCAAAGGAACGACTGAGGATGATAAAAGTCAAAGCGCCGAGTATTTATTGAAAACGAATCGCTATGTACAAACGTATTAAATACACGTGTATATGCGAGAGTGTAACAGTGACCGGTGTGTGTATGTGTGTGTCCGTGTGTTCGTGTACGACATTTATACAGGGGAAGGGATTCGAGTGTTATCCACGCAGAATAGTCAATACGGCTCCATACGTAGATAAACGATAGATAACTGGCCCTACACCGACGACCGTGCGCCAGCCGGCTTATTTACAACCCATTTCGCTGTTTATATTTGCACGCGGTGATTGGCAGATGCGTTCTTTCATGTTCGCGAATTCGTGACGCATTGTTCAACTAAACGGAGTCATCGTCCATTGAATTTTCATCAAAATCATCTGACCAAACTTATTATAGTTTCTCTTCTAAATAAATATAATTTTACAATTTCATCAGGTGAGACAACATTATAACATTGTACGTTTCAAGTTCTTCCTATTAATAAATATTTATAATCACATCGCACTCTGTCATTCGACCAAAGAAATGTAATGCTACGTAGGAGGGGGTGGATTTATCGCTGTTTATCAAAATTCGTTGGCCACAGGTATCGATTCTACGTAGCCTCTGCCGGGGGTTGCAAAAAATGCGAAGGCTCGCGCGGCCGATAGAGGAAGGGGTAGAAGAAGCGCGATCGTGTTTCATAACGAATATAGCAGCGGATATTAAATTCCATCGACAAACGCGGAATTCCCGTGTACGCGGGCACTTCCGTGTTCCGACTTTTGTTTGCGACCGCCGGACCGGGGCCAACGACCAAAACCGGAATGCTTCTGGTGCGTAAATACGCGCGAAAAACAAAACTCGTTTGAAATTAAGGGACAGGGCCCAGCTTCGAACGGTTGAAAGAATCGAAATCGGTCGAACTTTGATCGAAACCGACGATTCAAACGTTTCACGTGTCACGAATTTTTAAGCTAGTCTTTAATGAAACGAAATAGTCCACGAATTTTTATTTTTAAAAATGAACTTGTCATATCAGAAGTCTTGTCATACTTAAAAGCAATAAAGAAAATATAATTGTATCATGCAAAAAATATTTTACAGTTCTTGACATAATTCAAACTTGTCTTTTTAATTCCTGTCACATGATTCGTTACAAAATAAAAATAGAGAAATCGATGATTAGAACAGATACGTTCGTCCACCTTCCATTAGATATTGCAACTTGTATTACTTTATATTTAATTAAAACGAGGCTGGTAATAAAACAATAATTCTTTTTCGCGTCTTACGTTTCGCTTGAAATGAAACTATAAAGTATACGATCGAGGGTAGCACGCGAATGGTCGATGAAACGTAAAAGCCGTGGCCCCATCCTTGCTAAAAAATAAACCACCTTGTGGGAACGATTAGTAGAACAATTCTTGTTCTATTTTTCCTCTCAGACAATTATTAAGTCGTTTCATGTTATTAAAAACTGTACAAAGTGTGTTCAAGAGAGTCGTATTACAGCTACAATGAAAACGATTAGATCAATGAATTCTCCTCGTCGCTCAATCTTCAACGATTTTCGATATATATATATTTTTTTTTATATTGTATTTATATATATATATTTATACGTGTTTCTCTGTTTTGTTGCTCTCAAACATTCGCACACTCTCACGACGTTCTCTCACACGGCATAAACTCCTACAAATAGAAAGTATTCAAGAAACTTTAAATCTTTACGCGAAGATATGTGTTTTATATATGTTTGTAATAAAATTTTGATGGTTACGTTACCTTGTTTAAGTCGATATGCATATTTCCTAGATAGAGCAAACGTTATCACATTGAAAGCAACGATATTCGAAATTCCTAATTAACGGCATTCGGTCTCGCGAGCAATCAATAATTCAATTTTGATGATTAATCACGCGAGGAGGTGGCCATTTTCCCTCCACTCCATTGATCGAACAGGACGCGTGTAATAAATTCGAACAAATTCGAATAAATGGGGAATTAACGATGAAAGAAGTCCGAGTTGAAATGAGAGAGATAATGATCGCGTACAGTAATTAAAAAATGAAGTAATTTATAAAATTCATCCAATTTAATTAAACTTTCTCTTGTTTCCTTCTTCCTGTTTCGCTGATCGATCGAGAAGGGCGGGTAGGAGCCTCGTTTCACTTTCAGTTCTTTCAATTTGTAGGAGATTTCATGCGCACCACGTTTCGCCTAATCATTCAGCCGATCGCACGGAATACGACCCATAAAATCGAATTAAATTTCATCACCGATATAATTCGTTAAGCTCATCAAAGTGGATATGTACATTCCTCCTTTTGTATTCCGTGCGATCGCGAATAGCGACTTTCCTTTCTCTCCCCCCCCCCGGCTTCCCTTATTGTTTCACCTTTATTGTTATCGTCGAATTTCGATCGCGCCCCTGAACGCTCGTAGGATTTCGAGCTACAACTCTTTCCCCCTAACAACACAGTGGCAGTATTCTTTTTTAGTACTTAATTTAGATTACGCTAAACCAACATGTCGTAGGCAGTATCGTAAATCTATTTTTCATCGTCGAAATGAAACATGATCAAACAAGACGTGAGCCGTGGTTTTATAAAAAGACCGTCGCCGATATTTATTGTAACGTTCACCTGAATATGAATGAAGTTTCATATAACAGAATGTTATTATTCCTCGACGCAGGCGAGCGGTAACGAATAATCGATGGCCCCTTTATCAAACCACGTTCACAGTCGCGTGCCCATTTGTCGCTTACATTTCCTACGGTGATTTATATTTCACAGACCACGAGTACTTCACCAAAGTTGCTCTCATCGCTACCTTTAATTCGTTTCTAGTTCTCGTTTATACATCCGCTGCGATGTCAGTCACGTCTTTTACACAATTTTCATACATTGCGAAGGTCCAATCCAGCGAGTAAAAGGACTCTCGTAAAAGAAGAAACGCGCAAACATAGCCCCGGAAATTCATGCTACGATCCCCAGAATTGATTTTCTGGAATGGATAAAAACGGAATTTTCACACCGGCCCATTCTATCTGGAAACGCGGATCGTCTCGCAGTGCACGCGAACGAACGAGAAGTCACGGGAACGCGAAATCGATGCCCGATTATCCGCAGCGGGTGAAATCCTATCTTCGACTGTCGATCACCGTACAAAAATCCGTCCGGTAAAACGCGAGCCGCGATATCAACCGGGTTAAATGGACCGCGTCTATTCCTTCCTATAAACGTAACTTCAGGTGGCTTCCCTTTCTCTCTGATCCCGCCGCCCTTCGTTTCTTCGCGTAGCTAGATAGAGTACAGAATAACGATGCGTTTTCATGGTATCTGGTTTTCGGTTTCCCCGGGACAGAAACGTCGCGAATCGATGGCGCGGGACCGCCGAGGGAATGCAAGCTGCTTAGAAACGATTGTAATAAAGTTTTCTTTTTACTCTATATCGGTTAAACCCTTTAACATCTCTTTACACTCTATATATATATATACGCATATATATATATATATATTTATATACGAACTTTTTTTTTATTTTCTTTCTTTATATACTTGCAACCTCTAGTGGTATTGTCAAACATTTATGCACTTCGGCTAAGCGCATTCTTAAGCTTATCAGTAGTCAGGGAACTTGTGGATTGTAAGCCAGCGGCTCGAGGAATTCCTTTTACCATTTAATTGCCTCAAAATCTTTGTTAAAACGTTACAAAAGGGGGTATCGCGTTGTTTTTTCCATGCCACGTTTCCGTTTAATCCATTCTGTGCACGATACGATAGAACGTCGATGGATCATTTGAAAACGTGTTTCAGTTCCCTACGTCGTCTCGACAGGGTTCTAAAAATTGAATTCTACGCTAACTGTCGTCGGATCCGCTACGAGTAAAGTTTCTTATTGCGCGGGAAAGCAATTGCTGATTCGTCAGGTCGAACAATCGCCGTTCTACCGTGACGTTCTGAACTTTAACCGACCATTTTCTTCTGTCCTGGCGACTTGTGCACGCGGAACGGTTACACGGATCGCCCACGGGTTACAAATCGTGTTTCCTCGCGAAGAAGGACATACATACATATACACAGACACTGAAGGTGGAAAAATCGTTTTTGTTGTCTTCCGCGCGATTTTCCCCCCAAGTGCCACGTGTATCCCGAACGTGACGCGAGTGCCGTTGTGGCGTGGTGTCATAAGCTTGTTTGCTGACAGTATCAATTTCAGTACGCCATATATGTGTGTAGTAGCGATTTATCGAACGTGCTTTCCTCCTACTGTCTCCCACTACGAACGTATTGGTATCGTATGCTATCGCGATTGGAGATCTTCAGGTGATCTTTCCGTTTCTCTTAATCATACACGTCTTAATAGACCACCTTAGCAATTATTTGTTAATTTCCTAATCTCGGATCTGGAGATCTTTCCCCAAGATTCATACTCATTTATTTGTGCTTTACATAATCATCCGTGATTACAGTTCTTAGAATAGAAAATTGCACAGCATTTAATTGAACATCTTCCAAAGTAACGATAAAAGCCCACAGTATTTGACAAAAGTCCACAACGAATTACTCTTCTTAAAATGATAACAATCATACAGTTTTGAAACTGATTTCGGAAACGATTAACGAAACGTCGAATCGTGATTTACCTTCGCTCCAGACGATCTACGGAACCGGGATGGCTCGCTCTGCGTGGCCTGGGGTACTAACTTGGTCTGTCTTGGTGTAGTTTGGTCGTCGATGGACAGTTCCACCAGTTACCGTTCAGCTCGCCGATCATAGAAAGCCGGATGAGGTTCCAGCCTTCTAGCTCTCTGTATCAAGTGTCGTTCGTGTCCGCGTGCTTGTAGCCGAGGTTCTTACGCTGCAGGAACATGTGAATCTCGCGGAAGCTCGGCCTGTCCACGTCGTTCCGGTGCCAACACTCGCGCATCAGTTCGTAAATATCCTTGGGACAGTTCTTCGGTAACGGTAGAATAATCTGCGAAAAATATCATAGGTCCCGTCGAACAATTATTACTTGTTTTTAAGAATAAACTTGCATTGATTGAATTTATGTATTGTTCAATTACAATATACAGTAAACTAAAAGTGAAAAACTGCGATTTTTTTTAATTTTTAATTGGGTGTAGCTCAGAGCAATATTAACTAATTTTGATGAATCTTTATACATAACTCAGATATACAAACAGAATGTTTCAAATTTTTTATTAGAGACGCTAATAAAAACGTTAAAAATCATATCCTTTACTTTTCGTCACTCTATATTTATGGTTTTAGAACTGCAGTAGTGTAAGTCAATCATTTATTATATATTGTGTAATTGTAAATGGAACTATAATTTAATGCGAGATATGTGTTAATAATTATTGATAAGTACCCGTCTATCGTCCTCCTGGTAAAAATAAGTCGCGTTCTCGACAATTCGGTGATCTGGCAGTTCTTCGAATGGCTGTTCCCTCGCGAATGTTAGAATTTCCCAAAGCGTCACTGCGAAAGACCAGACGTCGCTCTTCGTCGTATGTCTTCCCTGCGTTCCGGGCACAAACACACATACAATTGAAAAGTACACATACACATTGACATTTGCAATATTCTGTTATTTCAGTTTTTTCCCTTCAATTTATAATTCATTTCGTTTCAATTACAATTTCGAACACACAACATAAGAATATAAAACAGCGAACGGAAACGAAATATTTGTTTTAGAAAAAAAAAAAAATGGAAACTGAGTAAAATTGGCAGATTCAATTTTTAGTTTCCGTCGGGTCTGACCGGTGGCCAAATTGTAAAAAAATATTTCTAAACGCAACCAGGTCGGCTCCGTCGCAAATGTCATTCTAAGTTAAAATCAATTTACAGTAGCGCCGGATAGCGCGGCAGGTGGTATCGTTGCCTGACGAGAAATTACTCCAACGTAAGTGCTTTAGTTACGTAATTTCATGGAACTACTCCATCTTGGCTTCGTCATCGGTTTACGGATCACGCGTGCGACTGGGAAACCTCGCGACATCCGTTCAAACGTTGCGCGATGCACTTGCACACGCGTGTGCCATTATGCGTTCGACAGGCTCGTTTAAACCGATTAATTAGCCGTCGCACTATCAAGGTGATTAAAAATTTCAACGAGAAACGAATCGCTCGATAAATCAACGGAACGTTTCACTGTTCCGTCATCCGAGGCATTCGTCATCGCGACAGCCAACGCTGATCAAATTTTACCTGCAATACGGTTCCCTCTTATCGCCGTTCGTTCATAATTTCAAACGACGAATTAATCACGCTTAATTTATACGGAATATCCAGGTTTATTTGCAAAATACAGTTCAGCTTGACACCTGGTCACTTCATTAACGACGGACACGTTTAACTTACTTTATCAAAAGGTTCGATCGCGTTAATTTTTAATCTTATTTTCAGATATACAAACAGAGGCTGACATTCGATAATCCGGAGCGTAGAGTTAAACAAGCGGAGTCAATTGGAGAAAGTCGAAGTTGTAAATGTAAAGTTTACAACAGCCAATCGGTAGTTCTCGCCGGTTGAACTTAATAAAGTAAAATTACTAAATCGACTCTAATTCCGATATAATTCTTGGCACGGTTCGTGCACGATGGGACTCGTTTCATTAACAACGCGTGGCACAATGGCGTCGGGGACCGGATAAACGATGGCAATAATGAAACATTAACGACGCAGTCAATTCGAAATGACTACGTGAACGACCGGGAAAATACTATATCGGCTGTTTCCCCATTTAGTCGAATTACCATTTAGCTATCAATTTGCTCCTGGCACGAACTTCATTCATACCCGATTTCTGATGCTAATGGGGCCGCGTTGATGGTTCGATCGCCGCTTTTGACCTCAGGACGAATGAGAATTCGGCGACAAGACGAACCAATCGGACCGGGATTAATAAAACAGATGCAATCTCCCTTCGTTTAACCGGCTTATCGACATCGACCGTTGGAAATAGCAACATGCAAATAAAATGTGAATAATCAAAAATGCCAATTGAAGTTTAAATTCTGTTTCTTAAAATGTTTATAAAAATTCTGCCATTCTTCCATGACGGATATAGTCGTCAAACACACTTAACTGGTTAAATACGGGAATAAAATAGACATTAAAATTTTAGTCGAACAATTTTATAAACTTCGCTCCTCTGTAATTATTATTTTTTGTTAAAAGTTCATTGCTTCAAATATTAGACACAGCTTTTTATTACGTCTTAAATTTTTGGCAGAGATCCTATGGCCCATACAACCTTAAATTTAATACTATCTTGTTATCGCCCAATTACAACGCGAAGCTTTATCGTTAAAGAGAAGCTAGCATCAGTAGCTGCAGATGTAACGTACATCCAATTAATACGAAACTCTGCATCTCACCAAATATTCCCGTGTCCCAATTACCATAAGGAGACGCAAACGTTCTGATCACGAATGCTCCACTCGTGATCAATCCCAAAATGTTCCATAAACAAGCAATAGTAGTACTTTTAATGTTAGTAAATCTTCCATTAATGAAAGAATTCATCATAATACATAATTGCTATATTCGTGGTCAGTAACTATGATAGACATCTAATTAAATCAAAAAGCTTTAATAAATGGCAAGAATCAGTTTCTTTCGACACTGAAATTTAGCTTCTGTCGAACAAGAAAACTGCATTGGACCTCGATTTCCCCGATCACAAAGTTTCACGGTTTTCCGCGATGACACAGTGAAATAAGCCCGACTCGCTAATGCCCCGCGACCGCAGACAGCTCCATCGAAGCTGATGCTTCGCGGTTTCGCGAATCGACAGTCCGATATCGACGGCTACGGACGAGAAATTAAAAACGGGGATACAATGAATAAAATAGTCGAGTGGACGAGGCTGAAACGTGCTACCATTCGTTGCGTTGATATACTACATACATTGGCATACCGGTTCGCTACCAATAAATTTACCGCAACCGCGCGACCCGTCGCTACGTGGAATAGGTATTTTATTTCTCTCAACTTTATTCCTCTGCCACTCGTAGTGAATTCTAACCGGTTATCTAATCGACCAGACTGAGATCAATCAGGTACAATAGTTACAATTAAAATACTACATTGTAATTTTAATTTTACATTCTTAATTTTGGTCTATTCTTCAATTTTTTATACTTTAAACTTTTCGATTTATTTACTCTAGATACAATAATAGCGAATAAATGTGACTGCAATTTTAATTGAATTATTAATTGTAATTTGAAACTCAATCTATTCTCCACTCCTTTTTAGAAGTCTGAAAATCATTTGCAAACACGTCTAAATAATTTATAAGAATTCTGTGCAGGTTTCAGGTTGTTCATCCATGTATTTAAAGGAAAAATGGAACAGGGAGTAGCCGTGTAGTGGGGCCGGAAAAAAATATTCAGACCATTGTTAAGCTGCGGTCAGAAATTAAGTCAAAAAGCTTGTCCCGCCCGCCGCAAACTAGACGTTGATGTTTACCCAGTTACTTTTATCGAGCGTGGTAACCGCAAACTGTGGCTTGGGTATGCTTAAAAAAATAGCATGCATACCTTGTATAGGTAGGGAAAACTCTTTCCATCATCCGAATATCTCTAACGTATATCAACGCATACGTACCATAAAATGAACAAGTATATGAATTATTATAAAATCATATCTGTAAATAGAATTACCTTCTCTGTATGATTTTATTCTTTAGCTACTTTTTCCTATGGTACATTTAATACAATTTCTCCCAATTTTTTATAACTATCGTAAGATGATTAAAAGATTATGTAAAGGAAAAAAATAACGTTTTAAGTTATTAGAATAGTTCCGTAATGCGATTTAATCTACCGGAGCCCGCTTTAACTATTGCGATCCTCTTGCGAGCTCCGCCGATCCTCGCGGATCAGAGTAGATAGGTTTCAGAACAAAAGGGAGAATGGAAACGGATCTCGTGGCAGGCTCGAGGTCGAGATAGGTCGAGCCGCGTTGAACGGTAATCGTTGCTGTTGTTCTAACCGTGCGACGAATCTTCGAGGCAAATATTGGCGGAAATGAAATAGAAAAAAGAAAATGTCAACTCCGCATCGCGAAAATCAGGGCCATCGTTTTTGGCTCGGCTGAAAAGGGGTAAAAACAAGCGGGCACAGAGGGCATTCGCGAAAACCAAACCGAGTTTCATCGCGTGGACGCGTAGCTACAGTCCATTTAAATATCACTGACTATGTCGGCCAGAAATAAAACCATTCGGATTTCCCGTCGCTTTATTTTTCCTCTCTGGTGACGAAAATCGTTTACAATCTATTTTGCCGCGGCTGCCACTATCGAATCCGATCCATTTACACAGTTACAAGCATTCCTCGAATTATTCAATCATAGCGCGAATTAATTTAAAACAAATTTAGAGAGCACCGCAGGCCGTTGCTAATTGTTGTCAGACTTACCATGAGCATGGATTCCCAGGCCATCCACCGGATTGGCAGCGGAGGTCGACCCTCGACCCGGAAGTAATCCGCTGCGTAGGCGTTTCTTCCGGAACCCAGATCCGACACTTTCACTGTGTAACCGCGGCTCACCAAGCAGTTTCTGCAACAGACCCATAAATCGCTTTATTCTACATCCGCTCCCTTCGATTCTTCCTTTATTTTTTTTAATACAACAGCTGGCGGAACTTTTTCGGCTGACCCACATTAGCGGTTTAAACTTTTTTAATATTTAGTATTTGGCATATTTGAGAGAAAAAGAGTTCCGCTGACTCATAAAATTTTACCTCGTTTTATTGTACCGTAACTCCTAGCCTGTGTATTACTTAAAAAAAAAATATATTAGATATACGAGCAAAGTTTATGAATCATTCATGTATTATGTGTTTAATTCAGAAAAATTCAATTCACTAATAATGTGAACAATTTTTCGTAACACGTCGTCGGAATATCGTGTCTGGCCTAATTCGGTGGTTAGAAATTTGTTCCCCAGCAGTTGCCATCGCTATCAATCCAACGATCCCCTTATTTACGACAGAACTTCGATGCTATAAGAAAATACAGTAGACTTTGCTAGATAATCCGTCTTTCAGACTGAGTGGATTATTCCAGTCTCCCCTATACTGCCACTCGAACACGTACACGAATTTACTTGCCACGAACCCTGTCAGAAGGACTGTTCACGATTTGGGAATTGAATCAAGATGATCCGATGGAAGGATGTATTTTCTGATAATCCACATGCTTATAGTGAGACACCTTATCAGAAAATTACACATTTACTTTAAAATAATTTTTGACTTCTGGGTTAATATTTGAATAAAGTGCAGTCCCTTCTGTAATATTTAATTTCGTGTTTTACAAATTCAATTCGTATTAATTAATAATTCATAACGTCAGTTAATAATAATCAAACATTAATTTCATATATAATATATTTTGATAATTACATAACCAGACAAAAAATAAATAAATTGATTAATAGAGAATCAGTATACAGCTACGTATATTCCATTATGGTTCAGGTATCGTTTACTATGTAATAATTTAATTAACCAAACTGCACATAAGATAAATATTTCCGATAAGTACTTCCCGTACACAACAAAGCGTACACCGTGACGTGAATAAGCCCAAAGCGAGTAGCTCGCTCCCGGCAATCATTAAATTTAACAAGAAACTGTTAACGAGAATGCCTTCCACCCGTGACACGCGTCGCATTTCGTCTCGCCGCCTCGTCGATTCTCGCGACACGGAGTAAACTTTCTTCCACGCAACCATTATCGGATAATGTAATGATTATCCTGTAATTAGAAGCGCGACTAATTCCAATTCTTTAACGAACTTCCTTCCAGACGGTTCGGCGTTTCTATCAGATATTTATTAACAATTGCACAAGAATATTTTAATTGAATTATTAATTGTAATTTGAAACTCAATCTATTCTCCTCTCCTTTTTAGAAGTCTGAAAATCATTTGCAAACACGTCTAAATAATTTATAAGAATTCTGTGCAGGTTTCAGGTTGTTCATCCATGTATTTAAAGGAAAAATGGAACAGGGAGTAGCCGTGTAGTGGGGCCGGAAAAAAATATTCAGACCATTGTTAAGCTGCGGTCAGAAATTAAGTCAAAAAGCTTGTCCCGCCCGCCGCAAACTAGACGTTGATGTTTACCCAGTTACTTTTATCGAGCGTGGTAACCGCAAACTGTGGCTTGGGTATGCTTAAAAAAATAGCATGCATACCTTGTATAGGTAGGGAAAACTCTTTCCATCATCCGAATATCTCTAACGTATATCAACGCATACGTACCATAAAATGAACAAGTATATGAATTATTATAAAATCATATCTGTAAATAGAATTACCTTCTCTGTATGATTTTATTCTTTAGCTACTTTTTCCTATGGTACATTTAATACAATTTCTCCCAATTTTTTATAACTATCGTAAGATGATTAAAAGATTATGTAAAGGAAAAAAATAACGTTTTAAGTTATTAGAATAGTTCCGTAATGCGATTTAATCTACCGGAGCCCGCTTTAACTATTGCGATCCTCTTGCGAGCTCCGCCGATCCTCGCGGATCAGAGTAGATAGGTTTCAGAACAAAAGGGAGAATGGAAACGGATCTCGTGGCAGGCTCGAGGTCGAGATAGGTCGAGCCGCGTTGAACGGTAATCGTTGCTGTTGTTCTAACCGTGCGACGAATCTTCGAGGCAAATATTGGCGGAAATGAAATAGAAAAAAGAAAATGTCAACTCCGCATCGCGAAAATCAGGGCCATCGTTTTTGGCTCGGCTGAAAAGGGGTAAAAACAAGCGGGCACAGAGGGCATTCGCGAAAACCAAACCGAGTTTCATCGCGTGGACGCGTAGCTACAGTCCATTTAAATATCACTGACTATGTCGGCCAGAAATAAAACCATTCGGATTTCCCGTCGCTTTATTTTTCCTCTCTGGTGACGAAAATCGTTTACAATCTATTTTGCCGCGGCTGCCACTATCGAATCCGATCCATTTACACAGTTACAAGCATTCCTCGAATTATTCAATCATAGCGCGAATTAATTTAAAACAAATTTAGAGAGCACCGCAGGCCGTTGCTAATTGTTGTCAGACTTACCATGAGCATGGATTCCCAGGCCATCCACCGGATTGGCAGCGGAGGTCGACCCTCGACCCGGAAGTAATCCGCTGCGTAGGCGTTTCTTCCGGAACCCAGATCCGACACTTTCACTGTGTAACCGCGGCTCACCAAGCAGTTTCTGCAACAGACCCATAAATCGCTTTATTCTACATCCGCTCCCTTCGATTCTTCCTTTATTTTTTTTAATACAACAGCTGGCGGAACTTTTTCGGCTGACCCACATTAGCGGTTTAAACTTTTTTAATATTTAGTATTTGGCATATTTGAGAGAAAAAGAGTTCCGCTGACTCATAAAATTTTACCTCGTTTTATTGTACCGTAACTCCTAGCCTGTGTATTACTTAAAAAAAAAATATATTAGATATACGAGCAAAGTTTATGAATCATTCATGTATTATGTGTTTAATTCAGAAAAATTCAATTCACTAATAATGTGAACAATTTTTCGTAACACGTCGTCGGAATATCGTGTCTGGCCTAATTCGGTGGTTAGAAATTTGTTCCCCAGCAGTTGCCATCGCTATCAATCCAACGATCCCCTTATTTACGACAGAACTTCGATGCTATAAGAAAATACAGTAGACTTTGCTAGATAATCCGTCTTTCAGACTGAGTGGATTATTCCAGTCTCCCCTATACTGCCACTCGAACACGTACACGAATTTACTTGCCACGAACCCTGTCAGAAGGACTGTTCACGATTTGGGAATTGAATCAAGATGATCCGATGGAAGGATGTATTTTCTGATAATCCACATGCTTATAGTGAGACACCTTATCAGAAAATTACACATTTACTTTAAAATAATTTTTGACTTCTGGGTTAATATTTGAATAAAGTGCAGTCCCTTCTGTAATATTTAATTTCGTGTTTTACAAATTCAATTCGTATTAATTAATAATTCATAACGTCAGTTAATAATAATCAAACATTAATTTCATATATAATATATTTTGATAATTACATAACCAGACAAAAAATAAATAAATTGATTAATAGAGAATCAGTATACAGCTACGTATATTCCATTATGGTTCAGGTATCGTTTACTATGTAATAATTTAATTAACCAAACTGCACATAAGATAAATATTTCCGATAAGTACTTCCCGTACACAACAAAGCGTACACCGTGACGTGAATAAGCCCAAAGCGAGTAGCTCGCTCCCGGCAATCATTAAATTTAACAAGAAACTGTTAACGAGAATGCCTTCCACCCGTGACACGCGTCGCATTTCGTCTCGCCGCCTCGTCGATTCTCGCGACACGGAGTAAACTTTCTTCCACGCAACCATTATCGGATAATGTAATGATTATCCTGTAATTAGAAGCGCGACTAATTCCAATTCTTTAACGAACTTCCTTCCAGACGGTTCGGCGTTTCTATCAGATATTTATTAACAATTGCACAAGAATTATAGCACACTTGCAATAACGTAAAAATAAACCTTTAAGCAGCTTATATAAGGTCAGTCGAAAATAAATATATATATATAAGTATAAAATTATGTCTTATTGAATAATTTCATCGAGGCGTGTTGTACACGAATTTATTATGCTATAGACTATAGAACCAATAAATGAAAGCATGTTTAATCAAAATTTTTAGCACTTTATAATAAACACAATGATTGCTGGTAAATCAGACTTTTTACTGTTCCATCCAATATGTAAAACAGTATGTTGATTAACCGAGGTTAAAATTCAGTATTAAAATTGTTGCCGATAAAATATTCAGTGGCTGAATTAATCATAGTCATGAGGAATTATATAGCAGGATGAGATCACGAAGGAAACAGGTCAGTGGACACTTGAAAGTGTACTCCCTATCCACGTGTTGGCTCGCTTATTAAACGAGCGCGTGTGCGCGTTCGCTGCTTGAAACTCGTTTCTATAAATCAACGGGCAATTAATTTCAGCCGCTGCGGGCCGCGCGTTTATGCGACGCTCGCGCCTCCAGCCATTGTAATTAAAGTTTATGATTAGAGTTAATAATTCGAACACGTGACCCGGGCGTGCTCTCCTGCATGTCCCCCGCCTTAATGGCCCTGCCACGCGGTGTCGATATCCGACAATTTCCAAAATCAATGATAATGACACTATCAGAAAACAAGAAAAACCTAAAAAAAGAGTACATTAAATCTGATCGCGTTTCTAAACTGTACATTTTTATTAAATTTTAATGAATATATTTGGAAAATTATAATTTTTTTTATTAATAATGATTTGCATTGTGCTTTTAACGTGTGTCCGCTTTCATATTTCCTACAGCTGCAATTTTGTAATTAAATGCATAAATTCCACAGTCTACTTGTCTCTAATCTTAATTGATTGAAAGGCAAACTTAGACCGTTAGCGTACATAAATACAAGCACGCTCTTGCTTGAAATACCGGAACAGAAAGCGCAACAGCGACTACTTAAACAAAAGCTGCATTCCCAAAGGAACCGTCGCGTACCGACGTACGTATCGTCGAACGAAGCGACGGAATGACTGATCGACGAAGTTCGACTTTAAGTAATCTATGAGAAACTGTCTGTTGTTACCTTGTGGCGAGATCCCGATGCACGAAGTCCATTTCCTCAAGATGTTTCATGCCGGATGCTATTTGCGTGGCCATGTAAACCAGCGTGCCGAAACTGCAACACGAAGAAACGGTGCGGTTCCATACACAAGTTACTTCATGGAATTCCTAACGCACTCTCGTTTGGAAATACCAACATACTTTCAAATCTCAAAAGAGTATCAAAAAGCATTAAACTTATTGTTACAAAAATCCGTTCCAAAAATAATAACTCAATAATTCTATTAAAAGATCGTCTATGCTTTATTCTTTTTTTTTACTAAGCTTTTATT